AATTTGTAACCAAAAGGTTAGTTTAAGTATTTTTTTTAATTATAAATTACTATTTGCTTACATTCAGTAAAATTTATGCTTTACAATTATAATGAACTAATATAGTATAAGTATCCTAATATGTATATTATAATCTATAGTAATAAGTAAAATCTGTAAGTAATGATGTAACTACTTAATAAGCAAAAAAGCATTTATTTCTTCTTCCATTTAGTATTACTTATGTCGGACCTGTTACATACGTAGCTCACCAAATACAATATATTTCAGCCTCCATCATTGTAAGGATAATTAAGTAGCAGATACATTTACGTAGAAGACCCAAATAATATTATCAGCATTATGATGTAATGTAATTGGGTTAGACAGAATCCATGTCTTTAATCTATTATACTGTTACTGGATTTCTTAGTATCCAGCGTTGAGATTGACGTCACAATTTCCTATTTAGAATAACGCCATTTAACTAGTTTATTACAGGTTAACATGATAGTTTTACTCCCCTCGTCCTTTGATGTCTAATTCAAATTGTTTTAACAAATTCATAGGTACTCAATATTATACTGCCTTTGATAATACAGGTCTAAGCTAGCATTAAAGTCAGGAGTCATCATCATCATCATCAGCCTATTAATGTCCCCACTGCTGGGGAAAAGGCCCTCCCTATGGATGGAATAGGGAGATTGGGCCATGACACATCACGCGGACCCAGTGCGGATTGGCGGGTGCTAAAGACTGCAGATGCAACCGGGACCAACGGCTTAGCGTGCCTTCCGAAGCACGGAGGAACTCGAGATAGAAGATTTTTGGCCTTTGGTGTTGACGTAAACCTAGATAAGTGGTATTAAAATAGAAGTTAAGATTTGAACAAACAGTATATCCACTGTCATGGCTCTAATTGTAAAAAAGAAATCAAAAAGTATTATTTTATCGAAAACAATTTATATTTATGATATTTTTTCAGCAATATAATATTTTCAATACCCGCAATAGGCTTTTATCGTGCATTCTCTTTTATTATATGTGAAATACACTTATGGCAATTTAACCACCACTTGTCTGCTCGGGTTGTCAGGATTTTAAATTTTATTCACTAGTACAATGGAAAAATGTTTAAATTACTATTGGAAAAGGTAAGGATTAACTTTCGAAAACCTGTAGACCCTACTCCAGCCTCTTTACAATATATATTCAGCCAATTTATCTGAATAGATATTTTTAAACATTTAAAGTTTATATTTTCAAGAACAATTAAGTTTTTTATGTGAACAAGTAATAATGACCTGCTTGGTGATGCTAAGCAACCACCATTATCGGTAAACGCTTGCCATACCTGTAGGGCGATTTTGTTAAGCAAAATATCAATGACAAATTATTATTTATAGTGAAAAAAAATACTCAATGTATACGATTGAAAGTTCCAGTTATACACATACGTTAGATATTAGAGATGTCTCAAATATTGTTTAAGAAGTCAGTACCCTTAGCTGGAACCAATATCGAATTCGAAAAGTTTGCGAGTGCGAAATGTCATTGTCAAATTTTGTATGGAAACTTGAACAGCAGCGCCACAACGGACGTTACAAAAACTAAAAATTAGTACACATTTGACGTATAAAATAGATCGAATTCAATTCGAATTCGATAATAGTTCGTGCTAATGGTTTAGTACTAGACATTACAGAAATAACATTCAAACTATCACATATATAAAGATTCGACATGCATAAACGTAACAATATAATGATATGCCTATCATACATAATCTGACCTCCTATATAAATATGCCGAGAATCTCTGGAAATGTAATGTACTACAGGAGCACGATAATCTAAATGTGTTACTTGTTGGTATCAAACTGGCCGTCAACGACTTTAGCGTTAGGCCTAGCGACAGGCTGGGCTTTAAAAATAAATAGTTAAAGTAGCAGTTTTGGAAATAATATATGTAGGTATTTTCTTTTTAATTAGATAATGAACCCAGTTAAATCACTTAGCACGAAACTTTGTATTAGTATATAGTGACATAATTGAACTTAAATCATTTTACACCACACAAAATTAACCTCAGACTAACAAGTGCAAAGTGATGATCTTATGTTATTCCTGTACATATATTATTGTTTCTTCACTTTTACAAAAACTTTTCATACAAACATTACTAATTACTGTCTAAATAATTATTATTTAAGGTTATTTTAATAAATAAATTAAATATTGTCACTTAAATTAATTTGTGGTTATCAAAAATGTGTAAACTGATCTAATTGACTTTTATAACAGTCTTAGTATCCTAACATTTATGTATAAAGTGATATGTGTAGTAGTGAGTGGTGATTCCAAACGAAACAAGCTAGAATTTGAGATGACATCTAATTATTTACTCCTAAAATGTTTTCAGTGATCTGAAATCGCTATTTTATTAATAATCACATAACATAACATGGATAATGTTGGACTAAATCCCATACATTATCACTTATCCTGAGGTAAGTATAGCTAAAGTACTTGTGCAATAAGGATCAGAAACAACAACAGTTTCACACCAACTACTTAGACCAGAGACGTAGAAAGTTGGTTTTCTTTAATGGCCCGATCGGGAATGACCACCGGACGTTCCAAATTTTGACTGGAGCGGGTACAGCAAGACATTCTATATGACTCGTCTTATCTATGCTTATCTTAATACTCGATCTTGACGAAAACATTTCAGATCTTCCAATGTCATCAGTAAAGCAGAGGTTTATTAGGTACTCGCCATTAATGTTAATGTCATGGCCATTCCAAACCAGAAGCTTGAAATTATCATTTTATGCAGCAGAATACAGTTTCAGAAATATAACATCTCCCTTTCTCACGCCTTTTTGCATTGGAATAGTATTGGAGGTCTGGTTCCAAAATCGAACTGACATACTGGAGTTTTCGTAAAGGTGCCTTAACAACTCTACATTACCTATAGTCTACTCGGTAGTATAAATGAGACTGCAGCACAGCCCAGATTTTGATCGTATCCAAAGCTTTCTCATAGTCCAAAAATGCCAGGCAGATTGTACTTCTCGGTTTCATGTTGAATATGATACGTTTACACAATATAATAATGAAAAACATCCCGGTTCACTTTGTTTGTTTATCAATTGACACGAAAAAGAAACTCAAAATGGGTCACAGAGGCTTACTTATATAATTTAGCATATAATTTATTTCTCTTCGATACGTTGTAGAAACATATCGATTAGATAGGAAAATAGCAAAATTTTCCAAGATTCATAATAACTAATAAAATTAATTTCGATCTAAGTCGAGTTAGATCACTTTTCACTGAACGTACAGGAATATACTTGAAGTTTCTGAGCACGACCGTTCGATTACCGTCGTCGAAACTGAAAATATAGGTACCTGATACCTAATTATAATGTGAAAATGATGTACCAACCCAAAAAAATCCTGCCTCTTTAAATCTTTTTTTCCCAGTAGATCCGTTTCATCTTGGGTCTACATCTGGATTTAAACAAAGCCAACCCTTTTGGAAACGGTTTTGTGAAAATCTGTATGAAATGCATAAACAAAATAGAAATGAAGTCTAGCGTTTACCGTAACTTAGGACCGTTTAGGATTTCTTGTTTTTGACGTGACAACGTCTTAAATTAGGTTGCGGCTGGGAGTCACTTATGAAAAAGTGTAACGCTCGGTAACGTTACGATGAGTTTAAGTTTACATGTACAATGTTTTAGTAAACAAAATATATTTCTATAGTTAAAATTTGTGCAATTCTTATTTTCATTCAATTCCTTGTTCCTATTGTGCAATTTAATTATATTCATATCAATAAATATTCTACCGAGAAAAAGACGTTGTCACGTAAAATCTTCGCCCGTAAAACCGACTTTACAGGCAACCATTTTTTTTTATTAAGGGTTTTATACACAAGGATGATAAAAAAGTACTTACCTAGTGCCACAATTTTGTTTCACGAAGTTTATGACTATTTCTGTTTTTGTAAATCATAATTAATAAAACATAGTACTAAGTACTACTAAATGAATAAAACTTAACACATAATAATATTCGTCTTACACACGAAGCGAGAGCATGAAGATTTTACTGAATTTCATTCGGGAAGTACCTACGTGTTCATACGGTTGGTGCATCGGATGCGTTCCCGCCTACCTTTTTAAATCCTATTGTATCCTCCTTTATATAAATACGTTTAGTAAATTTGTACGATTTAAAACATTTTTATTTATTACACTTCATTATTTAGGTTTTCATAGTACAAGTTCTGAAAATCTAAACATCATTTTTACAAAAAAATCTAAGAAAATGGTAGCTGGTACGTGTCCAAATGTGGATTTGTTATAGATTTTTAAATATAGTGATATATTTTTTTATTTTGCAGGTTGTATGTTATCAAAGTAGTTAATTCTTTTTAAGTTTTTAGACAATAATTAGTTTTAAGCTTTTGTTATTAAATATTAATATGTAAATATATTGTTTATTATAAAAAAAAAATATTTTTTTTAGCTATAAAAATCTAAAAGTTCAGTGTTATGAGTACATTTCTTTACTCGTGTGCCACCTTTGCCTTACAGTGTGGCAATGCTGCCAGCCTATTGGGAACCATATATTATACATTATATATATATTATTTAAACAGGTATTTAGGTTTTAAATTTTAGACATTATATAGTATCTTAGTTTCAGTTATTTAAATTATTTTATTATTTATGCAAAAATATAATCGAAGCTGTACAGATTGTGGGACTCATTATACTAGCATATATCTAGAGATAATATTTTTACAGCAAATATACCTAACAACAATATTTATGTCATATATCTAATGAAAATGTCAATCATGAAAGTATGAAATAAACTGCTTCCCAATAACGTATGATAAGCATTCATTATTTTAGAAATTCGGCCCATCATTTTAGTGAAATTTCACGGATCACATTTTATTTTTGTATTGCCTTAAAACTATTTTTAAAATAAAATGATTACCTTAACTTTTCACACAATATCGTACAACACAACCACTGTAAACACACACGTGACTCCCGCGCAACCGCCAGTGCGCTCGCAGCGTTCACGGTCCACTGTCGAGATCAGACTTGAGATGCGGTCGCGACTTACACCGGACAGGGAATTATGCAACATCCGACTGTGCAGCCTACTTGATGAAAATGTAATAATAATACTGTATGCGCTGCCTGAGTTTTTTGAAAGCGCCTTGTAAAACGCCTTTTACAGACAATAGTCACATTTTATGTTCTATTTATTAAACTTTGCGATCCGATGGCGTAATATTTAGAATTTAGTGAGTATTGGCTTGAAAAAAGAAGCTAAACTTTTGAATTTGAGTTGAATACTTTTTTAGCGCAGCGCCCACACATTTGCATAGTTGGTATTATGAACTTATAACGTCACTATACAATTTATATAATATAAAAGCTTGTCGCCAGATTTGAGTAGGTTCAGGTTGTTACAATATGAAAATTAAAAAAAAAAACGATCAAATAATATCCGCCAAAATGACCCCAGGCCCGGCGCTAAAGCAATGTATCTCAGTTTTTAGAGCAAAAATAGCAGTAATATTATATAATTTCGGTATTGTTAAATTCGAATGCTAACATAGTTTTTTTGTATGATGAATTTTCATAGGCGATTTATGAAAAAAAAAAAATGTTTTTAAAGCGTCCTTTTTAGTTCATTGACATTGTAATAAATAATAATGGCATATAAGCATGTATATCAATCATCATATATAAAGATATTTCATTTGTAGTTATATTTTTATTTAGAAAAAAAAATAGTTTAAACTTCCCATAAATAAATAGAAGAATCAAGTCAAATGTTTTAGTTTTAGCTTTTTGTTTGTATTATATTATAATGATATTTACAGTACAGTACATACATGCTTATATGTCATAATCACTAATTACAAGATTAATGAACTAAAAATGACGACGTTTCTCTAAAAAATCTAATTTTACAAAGAGCACCTATTAAAATTCAACTGGCAAAAAAACTATGTTAGCATGTGAATTTAGCAATACCGAAACTATATAATATTTTTGCTATTTTTACTCTAAAAATTGAGTTACTTTATTTTGGCGCCGGGCCTGGGGTAATTTTGTATGGGATTTGGCGGATCTCCTTTTGTTTATATACGCAGGTAAATCTCGTGACTTTCTGAAGCTTTTATATTATACAAGCTGCCGCCCACGAATTCGTATGCGTGGAGTTAGTTATTTGCACATACTTTTTGACCCCAAAAGGGTTCACTGCTCTTTCCCCATAAGTGATAGCGTGATAATATGTAGCCTATATGTTCACGCGACTTCTTAATAATATTCGTGAAAATTTTGAAGTAAATCCATGCAGCACTTATTGAGTTTATCCCGGACATACAAACAGACAAAAATTGAAAAAAAATATTTTGGCTTCGGTTTCAACAGTAGATCACACCCCAAGTATTCCTTTAAAAAAATATTCAATATACAGTTTTGACTTTCCTACCATTTTATTATAAGATAAATTGTGAAATGACGTTATAAGTTCATAGTAAAAGTTTTATAGGAAAATCTTATTTTTTCTTAGCTTTATTTTTAGCGCATTTATTCCCAGTTTTTTTTCTCACAGTATCGATGGTTACCATGGTCATCATTCTTGTATGACAAGCATCCACTCCAGCAGTGCTGTTCTGTAAGAACAAACTTGCTTTTTACAGCGGAATCCGCGTTGTGATTTGTAATTAGAATACGAATTCCAAATAAATTACAAATCACACTGACTTTTCCGCGGTGAAAAGTGACAGAATAAGAGCCTGTGCTGTTAAGAGTGGAGGCGGGCAATGTGTTTTCCATATAAGCGTTCTCGAATGATTTATCCTTGATTTTTATCACTAAAGAATTGATTTTCGCACATAAAATATTATTTTACTTATTTTATGCTCCCATGTCTTCCTTTTTTCGATCACTTGTATTCCAAAGAAACTAGAAGCCTTCAAAAATTGCAAAAATAAACATATTTTTATGATGCAAAAGGAAGTACCTACTCCTGGACACAGCGAGTTTCTGGTAGCTTGGGCCTAGCTCCGCTGCTGGTGGCCCTCAATTTAGGTTTTTTATACTATATTCATTTTTGTATTTTTTTTTTGCATTTTACTATTATATCTATTATATAAAAAAACCTTACTATGAAATAAAATAAATGAGATAATAATAATAATAATCAGGTAGCAATATTAGGAAAATTTAAAAGATGGCCTGCGTGGGATTTTTTCTAGTAAAATTTTAATTAGATTTAAATATCTAGCGGTTAAAATCGACGACCTCCGTGGCCGAGTGGTTTGTACGCCGGGTTTCATGGCGTCGCCGACTCGAGAGGTCCCGGGTTCGAATCCCGGTGGGGGCAGATATTTGTGTGATGAACACGAGCATTTGTACTCCAGTCATGGATGTTTAAATATGTATTTCTATAAAAAATACACTTATATATGTAAAGTATGTGTATTCTATCCGTTACCCTAGTATCCCATAACACAAGCCTTATAGTGCTTACTTTGGGGCTAGGCTAAGTGGTGTGAGTGTTGGAAATATTTATTTATTATTTATTTATTAAATGGTTAAAAAATAAAAAAAAACAATTCAAAAGGACTTAAGTACAATGAGTTGAATTAAGTTTCTTCTAATTTGGATCATTTACGGCAATACCACAGGGAAATACAATATTTAGCAATATCAATTGGCGAATGAATACCCACTGGGGAATTTCTGCAATAATTTGTCGATTCCAATAAAGACGTAGAACTCTTTAAGACTTAATTAATGGATCCGGTTTCTGAGAAATGAAATCTCTGTTAAAATATAAAAAAAAAATATGTAACGCAAATATTTTCAGCGCAATATTAAGCGAAGTCACAAAAAGTAAACAACAATATCGGATATCCCAAACAAACTCGGAATTTTATTATGACTATTGTTCACTTTTCTTGTACACAAAGTTTTGCTAACACCGCAAACGTCACTCAGGCAATGACCCGCGTTTACCTAGAGTGTCATATTATCGTAATAGAAAAAAAAATCTTTATTTAAAGGCAGTGCAATAAGAAACGCAAACTAATTAAATCATATTAGAGACAAGAAAACACCTTAACTGTAACTTTGTTATTACTTATAAGTATATATTATAATATATCTCTCTCTGATCTTTTTTTCCTGCACTCCAACTAACTGTACAAACTGTTCATATACCTATTACAATGTGAAAATAAAAAATGATTTTGGCTTGCAAGCCAATTTTATATGCGAGACTTTGTATATTCTTACTTAAAAAAATTAAACATTAATCTGTACCCAATTTATGAATCTTCGCTTGCTACCCGCCGCGCTGTGCAGACGTGCTCTGCATCGTGTCCGGGTCTCGTATCCGTTGTTCGTATTTTTTCGCCCTTGCCCGTGGCACGTGGTATTTTTCATTAGTCGCCCGTTCGACCTTTCTCACAACCCCCGTGGTTCGGCACGTCGCGAATAAATTTTCGATGCAGTTTTCGTTGCGGGAATTGATTGGGAAGGTTTTCTTATTTCACATTGGTTTGGTTTTCCATTCACCATGCTTCTACGTACTTTAATGGCGAAATAAAGAATAATAAAGTAAATAAACGGTCGTATATAATAAAAGAGAGAGAAATGGCAACACTGGCCGGTTAACTTGTCAAATTGTATCACCTTTTTTAAAAATTAAATTTATTAGATTTTTCTTAATTTATGTAATTTTAAGAAAAGTTTAAGTTGCAAATATTGTGTGGTGATGTTTTGCAAAGATCGACGAAATTTTAATGAATGATTCTCGAAAATCGTAACGACTAAGTACCTTCGTTGCAATCAGTACCCTTAGCGCGAACCAATTTTACTAGTGTGTGACGTCATTTTAGGCTCCGCCAATCCCAGGCGTTTTCAATCACGTGACAATAGATATGAAAATTATTATCTTTTTCGTGGGTTTTTAGTAAAATTATGAATATTTTTTCTGTAATAATAGTAAAAAACCCCTGCCAATATTCATTTTAAATACAGATGCTAATAATTAGCACTTTATTTTTAATACTGTCAAATACCCTATTGCTGCATCATAAACCGGGGGATTACATTTGTTCTATCTATTATTTATTTCTGTAATATTTTAAGTATCCAATATAGTATCAATAATTACTTTTGCTTGTAAATTTAAAGTGGGCAGGTAGCTTACTTACATTTCACTTAACAATCTAGCCCAGCATAAAGTATTCTCAATCTCATATACTTATATAAACTGATATTACACAGACATTACACATATTTCTCAGCTTAACTCACTTATGTGAGTTCTGGTGAGAATACAAAACTGAATTAGTTGCGGGCTTAGATAATTATACAGTTGCTAGTAGTTTTTGTAGGAAATCGGCTATGAAGATTTATTTCTTATTTTAATAACTGGAAAACAAAGTTTATATAACAAACAGAACCTGTCATGAAATTCGTTGAATGCTGGGTTGACTTGCAAATATTCAAGTATATCTCTAAAGGGCATACACATCAAATGATACTTGAATAACTCAATGTTTTCATCTGAATAACATCTTCTACTAATAAAATTCACTTTATATAGCTCTTTTTTGTTATCTATAGGAAACTGCAGTATTTGTGCCATATCGTGATCAGATAGCCACAGAGGTAAGACTGATCCGACCGCGTTATTGATGTTACTTATTACCAAATCAAGGTACGCGTTCTTACGAGTAGGTTCATTTATATGTATATAAAAGTTATATTGATTAATAATTTCCTTTAAGTGTGTCGAATTTTTACAATTTTTGTCAATAAAATTTATGTTCATATCACCAGTTATTATATTTTTTCATCAGAATATTTTTTATGCATTTGTGTAGTAATAAGTCAATTCTATCCAGAAAATATACAATATGTCCCTGTAGTTTTGACGGTATTCTATAAATGCAAATAACGATGATATTATTTGAAACTAGATTTACTGCACAACATTCAAAGTGAAAATTAATACTAAGGTCATCGAAACATTTTATTTTTTTATATTCAATCCCCTTTTTAA